TTGATTCATATCATGGCTTTTGTATTTCACTCTGAGCTCCAGTATGTCATTTTTTTTTACATCCAGTGGTAAGCACAAACCCACACGGTTCTGTTTTCTTTTCCTTCCCCCTGCTGTCAATGCGCTGTCACACACGATAAGCACAAGAAGTGAGACACCCGCACACATCACGCTGCTGAGACGCTGGAAAAAAAAGAAAAAACTAATACAGCCTCGTAAACCTGCTCTGCTCCCATCTCTCCTTCATTTAGAATGCGCTTAGAGTGACGGCCGTGTAGCAGACAAGAAAACATTGTTGCTCTCTTCACGGCAATCTAGTTTAGTGGAGCATGACATCATTTTCGTCAAAAGTGTTCTTTTATCTAACATTTCAACACAGGCAAAACTGAAACGGAGTTGGTATGAGCAAATGATAAAGAGATTAACATCTCAGTCCACTGACAAAGAACAATAGAGTTTGAAAGATCTCACAGATATGAGCTCTGAAAAAGTATTTGGACACTTTAAGGTCACACTTAAAATGTCTGAAGGACATTGATAGCTAAATATCAAAGCAAAAGAAATTGTCTCCATTTCTGTCACCTGACTGAGCTTGGGTTCATTGCTGCTGTCACCCTTTGGCTTGCTTTGTTGGAGACACTTAATATTCAGTAATATCATCGATTTGTCGGCACTTAAACTATGGGATGAGAACAAAAAATGAACTGAATTGAGCTAAATAATGACATGACTGTCTTCTATAAAGCTGAATTGTTTATATAAATTTTGAAAGATGGACACTGTTAATGAACTGAATTGAATCAACAATGAACTGACTCAAGCTGAATAACGACTTGGGCTGTGTACTAACACTAGTTTCACGATTTGATTCGATTACGATTCACAAGTTTGGGATTTGATTTGATTTGATTCCGATTTCTATTCGATATCGATTATTTTGGATTTATATAAGGTACAGTGCATGGCAAATTTTCTCAAGGGAAAAAAAAATCCCTTAACTAATGCTGTAAAATACTACAGTTAGTACTACACTACTATAATATTGAAGGTTAAAACTGAATTTTATACAAACACTTAAATTACACTCAATTAAGTTTTATAATAATACAATTACAAAACCAACTTTACAATGACATAATTATATTTCTACTCCAATTCGTTTTTTGAAATATAAACATTTAAATGGTGTCTGTAGTAAAAACTTGACGGATTTATTCAAACATAAATTAAATATTGAAGAACAGTATTTTCTAGCTGACTAGCGAGTTTATGGTCTCAAATATGTTTTTTCTGAGGTAAATGTGACGTTTCGTGACACAGATTACAATCTGTTATACTGACGTCTTTCCACGGTTGAAACATTGATTGAGCAATTACATGAGACAGGATATGGATTTCGGTAAGATATGTTCATGTTTCATTCATTCATGTTTATTTTGTGCTGTAACTAGTATTAAAGCGGAGGAGATGATCAGTTCACATGCCGCTTCTCTTGAACTGAGGCACTACAGCGATCTGTCACTCTACATTAAACAACGCCAAAAAGTTATTTATTGTTTGAAAATTGTAATAAAATGGACAGAATTTGAAATCTGGGACATTTCACAGAACATTTAGGTATCTAAGTTAACTCACCTTTATTTATGTGACGATTCATACAATACAGATTGTTTCAAAGCAGCTTCACGATAATAAACAAGAAAATAACAGAATCAATGAGGCAAGCAAACTTCTTCAAACATGAAACAAATTCTTCTGTAAAGAGCTCTAAAAAGACAACGGTGTCATTATTCAGTTCAAATCAGTTCAGTGTTGATTCTGTTCAGTTAGGCGATTCTGTAAAGTGATTCTCCTAAGCCTGAACACATTTTAAGTTTGGAGCAAAAACTAAATAAACTAAAGCTTGCTAAAGCCTTCTGGGTGGTAACCATTAATGTAGAATAAACTGTGCATTTTGGAGACACCTGAGTGGCCTTACTGTACAGAAATACACATGCAACGAGCTATTTTTTAAATGTGTCAGAGGAAGGAAAGACTAACAATCCAGCGAGGGAAATAATTGTTCCTTAACATGCCAAATCATTAATTACAAAAACAGACACTTCTGACTACAGTGGAGTGTCTCAAATATAGCTATACAGATTAAATATAATGAATGAAATACACTTGAATTAAGCATGCACTGTACAGTGTATTCATTACATTGAGGGAAAACAGAATGTAGTATAACACTCTATATTATAATCTATGCACTATACACTACTACAATTTTTTGGTTATGTTCTATCCAGATTATATTTCAAACCACCCAGACCAACTAGCTGAGAATCAGCAGAACAATATAGAGGCCTATAGAGAACTCAAACTGTATATGGTTCAGAGCAGTATGTATTATTAAGAGAGGTCTTACAACACGTTTTGTATTATACAGCAGTACACTGTTCAATATGCAAAAGTCTCTATATGTTGGCTTACTATAAACTACAGTTAAGTCATGCTATACCTGAGTGGCCTTACTGTACAGAAATACACATGCAACGAGCTATTTTTTAAATGTGTCAGAGGAAGGAAAGACTAACAATCCAGCGAGGGAAATAATTGTTCCTTAACATGCCAAATCATTAATTACAAAAAACAGACACTTCTGACTACAGTGGAGTGTCTCAAATATAGCTATACAGATTAAATATAATGAATGAAATACACTTGAATTAAGCATGCACTGTACAGTGTATTCATTACATTGAGGGAAAACAGAATGTAGTATAACACTCTATATTATAATCTATGCACTATACACTACTACAATTTTTTGGTTATGTTCTATCCAGATTATATTTCAAACCACCCAGACCAACTAGCTGAGAATCAGCAGAACAATATAGAGGCCTATAGAGAACTCAAACTGTATATGGTTCAGAGCAGTATGTATTATTAAGAGAGGTCTTACAACACGTTTTGTATTATACAGCAGTACACTGTTCAATATGCAAAAGTCTCTATATGTTGGCTTACTATAAACTACAGTTAAGTCATGCTAGTATAGAGTTAGGTATTATAAATCAAAATACTAAAGACTAGAAGTCAGAAAGTAAATTCTATACAGCAGAATGTAATATAGTAAGCATATATTCTGGAGAAGTATAGATTAATGACTATTCAATTCAATGGTAGTCATATATTATATAGCACTATAGTCAATAGAGATAACATACAATATAATATATATATATATATATATATATATATATATATATATATATATATATATATAAATATATGACAGCAAATCAGCAAATTTAACATTGCTTTATATTCTGAAATGTAAAATAAATATTTAATGAAATGAATATAAAACATCAATTTGTAAATGCACCAGTGTGCAGGCATTTTTAGTGTTTTATACATAAGATAAGATACAGTAAGAACATGAACAAAGAAACAAAGTAAAACAAACTGACAAATACAATAAAACAAATATACAAATGAAATAGTCGCTAATGGATTAAGTTGGTGTTGGTGTGTGTGTGTGTGTGTGTGTGTGTGTGTGTGTGAGTGAGTGTGAGAAAACGTGGATGTTTTGTCCTTTAGCATGACAACAGTTTGATGTAAATGGATCGGATCATCTATACGTTTGCTTGTGTTTTCAGAGTCCAAGTACTGTTGATTCATTTTGATTGTTGCTCTCATGGCAAGCCGTTTTCGCGTTTATTCTTTACAACTAACAAATACCTCTTTTATGTTAACTAGTACTTATTTTAATTACCAGTGTAAGTAATCCAACTAGGGATATGCCGGTATCCAATTTTCATGTTGCAATTAATTGCTAATGATTTTTATCACGGTATACGGTATTATCACGATATTGACATTTTGTTTTTAAAAAAGTGCTGTCATAATACAGTATAACAGGTTTAATATTTTTTTTTCTTATAACAAAAATAACTGAACATTTAAATGCAATAAAGCAATACAGAAAAATGTATAAAGTTAAAAGTTTTACACAGATTAAAGTGCAAAAGAACACTTTACAATAAGACCTCATTAGTTAACCTTAGTTAATGCAGTAACATTCACAATGAGCAATAGCTACATTTGCTACAGAAGTTATTCATCTTTGTTTAAAAAATGCACGTCTTAGTTCATGTTAGCTCATTAAATAACACAGTTGCAACTTTTGATTTTAACAACGTGTTATTAAATATTGGAATACCTAAGATTAATGAACGTTCAGAAGAATTTTTCATTGGCAGTTTATGTTAACGAATGAATTAACTAATGAAGCCCTAATGTAAAGTGTGACCGAACAATAAAGAATCAAAATCCTTTCAAACAATATCTAAGGCATGTTGTAGTCCAGATTAAAATGTAAAAAAAGATTGAAAATATATAGCCTCATAGCAAATACACAAATCTGAATGGCTGTTTAAATCATTTAAACACGATTCAGAAACAGAAAGTAGTGCAGCTGCTTTGTTTACAGGGTTTCCGGGGTAACGGCTGCATTTAAATTAATTATTATTATTATTTCTGCAGTTTAGCGCCATCTGCCATCAGAGAGTGAAAGTGCGCTTTCATCCAGAGCGTCTCTCGCATGTTCCGCCATGTGCTTCTCGTCCGCGCTTGTTTACATCAGAGTGCGCACGCATCTTTCACGCAGCATACAGCCGTGTTGTGCATTTTGACCAGTTGATGGGTAAAGTATTCTTAAAATGCATTCAAAATTCTGAATAATTTGTAATATATATAATTATTCACGGTATTTAGAAGTGCCCACGATAACAATATTGTGCGTATTCATTACCGTGATATATCGCATTACCGAATACCGGCACAAGTCTAAATCCAACACTGACTAGTAGCTTCATTAGTTACTAGTGTTTATTCATTACTTGCATTCATTCCTGTAGTAACTATTCCATTGTTAACTAGTAGCGTATTTTTGCAATTTAATTCAATGGGAATCGCAATCGGTGATATCGATATTAGCTATTCACTTCCAACAAGCATTCCAGCTGTTGCAGGTAGTGGTACCTATTCCAGTTTTTCTAGGACCTGTTTATTAGTTTCTTAGAACTATTCAAATAGTTGCACCTATCTATTCCACTTTTCCTTAAAGGCCTATTTGTTTGAGACTAGTGTGTGTTCCTTAAAGGCCTGTTTATTAGAGACAGTTGTTACTTGTAGATTTAGATTAATGCATTTGGCGGATGTTTTTATCCAAAGTGACATGCATTGCATTAAAGGTACACACTTGTTATCACTTCTTATACTGGTAACATCTTTAATCTCACTAAATTTTAATTGAACTATAAATTAGCCATTCTGACTAGTGATCACTTCCGACATTTACAAGTAGAAATTGGTATAGATACTAGTGTATCTAATAAATAAGTCATAGTAAAGCTGAAATGGACAAAAATAGATATAGAAATAAGTGTTAAATAAGCTTGCCATGATATTTTGATTGTTTGTAGAAATACTCTAAATGAAGTTTCTGTGATATGTCACTTTGTGTTTGCGTACGCTACCAGCATACCCTCTTCGCTTATTTTTGTGTTTAGAAATGTAAGGGTTAGGGTTCCAGGCGGCGTTGCGATTAGGGTTGAAGTTTCCACTGAGCAAATTTGAGATTTGCTTAAACCCCAGGGGACTCCTGCGATCGCAGTCAGCCCTGGTTCAGAACCTCTTGTTGTCATTTGCAAAGGTGGAAAATGTCCAGTGAAAGACAACGGTCAGATGATGAAAGTCCCAGCACCAGCAGCGGTAGTTCCGATGCGGATCAGAGAGATCCTCCGGTGCCAGAACCAGAAGAACAAGAGGAGCGAAAACAACCCACGCCTCCACAACAGCAGAAGAAATCCACCAAACTGTCCAGCAAAACAACAGCCAAATTATCCTCCAGTGCGAAGAGGTAACGACCTGTTTTCCCTTTGAGGATTCAATGCCCTTTTTTTGTGATTCTGGCAAATCTTCTGTCAACACATTTAACAGTTTTTTATCACTTTTTGTGTTTAGAAATGTAAGGGTTAGGGTTCCAGGCGGCGTTGCGATTAGGGTTGAAGTTTCCACTGAGCAAATTTGAGATTTGCTTAAACCCCAGGAGACTCCTGTGATCGCAGTCAGCCCTGGTTCAGAACCTCTTGTTGTCATTTGCAAAGGTGGAAAATGTCCAGTGAAAGACAACGGTCAGATGATGAAAGTCCCAGCACCAGCAGCGGTAGTTCCGATGCGGATCAGAGAGATCCTCCGGTGCCAGAACCAGAAGAACAAGAGGAGCGAAAACAACCCACGCCTCCACAACAGCAGAAGAAGTCCACCAAACTGTCCAGCAAAACAACAGCCAAATTATCCTCCAGTGCGAAGAGGTAACGACCTGTTTTCCCTTTGAGGATTCAATGCCCTTTTTTTGTGATTCTGGCAAATCTTCTGTCAACACATTTAACAGTTTTTTATCACATTTTGTGCATTCAAGTTCATTTTCACAATGTGCCAATTAACAGTTTTAGCATCTGTGCTCCATACTTGAGAATAAAAGCACTAAGCTTAGATAATTACTTAACTGCATGAGCAAAGAAGCCGTGTGATCGGCTTATATTTAATTTCAACGAACCACACCATGTTTACTTAGCAAAAGTTATTTTGAGGCATCCCAGAACTTCTAAGTAAAGTTATTTGAGGAACAAGAGAAGTGAATCAAATCCGTCTGCCTCGTGGATACTAGTAAATACAGCAATTCTACCCTCAAATTTCATTGGCACTGAAAAAAAAAAACAGTTACCAATCAATCCACATCAGTGCTCATTAAAACACCATAGACTTTCTCACTGTGGGTGGAATGACAGATCAAAAAAAAAAAACGTATTCTTAGAAAACGTCAGAAATCCTGCCCTGGCTTCTTTCTACGCTGTTGATAATGCTTTAGTAACAGCACCAGAGCTGTGCATTAAAGCTCTTGTAAAATATGCTTGAGAACACCCCCCTCTGCCTCATTTGCATATAAGCTTGAAAAGAAAATATTTTGTGCTTAAAGTGACTTAAACCCGCCGATGAGGGGTGGGGTGTGAGCTAAGGGGAGCGGGCTTTGAGCTGAGGTGAAGATCAGCGGTGGGCGATGGAGGGAAAGGCAGAAACGAGCACGGCAAAGTTTTCCTGTTATGGGATTCGGGTTATGCCTCCGAGAACAAAGAGGAAGCAGCCATGTTAGCTGTGCTGAAGGGAGAGCCAGCCGTGCAGTAAACGCAGCAGAGGTAGAGGGCAGTGTAATTCCCTGACTGCTTGCAATTCTCACAGCTTTCTCTCCATCTCTCCCTTTCTCTCTTCTCTCCCTCGCAGAATCCAGAAAGAGCTTGCAGAAATCACTCTGGATCCTCCACCCAACTGCAGGTATGTTATTTAAGTGTGCTCTCGAATATTATTCCTTTATGGACTGGTTTGAGAAAGGTTCACTGTGGGAAAGAATCGACTTTTAGTACCAGCTGTTGGAGTTTTTAGACTCGGTTTAAACTGATGGATTCACTCAGGACAGATGTGGCATTTTGCTCCTCGGCTTCAAAGAGTTAGGAAGGATAGTGGGTTTTTTTCCCTTCCACTGGGCATTATTGTTGCTGATGTTCCTGTGGTCTTATTTTTAATAATATGGCAGATGCTGCTCTGAAACATATGGCTTTGATTACACATCCTCATGCTGAACTTACTGCTGAACCCCCATCTGTTTTAATGAGCTGACCTAGAGATGACAGAACAAGACGAGGGAGCTTTTAAAATTCCCTCTGTAGCTCTTTTTTATGCTTTGAAGGACGCTCGTTTTCTGATTGTTTCTTGGTGATTTTTAAAGTCCTTTCATTAGATGGATTTTTATTGGGAGAGTCTTCTCTGGTTGGTAATATTATTAACAGTCTGTGTTCGATATGTGTTTTGGCTTTCTGTAATATTGGAATAGATTTATGCGTATTGATTTATGCCTTTCAAACTAGATTTTATAGATGTTGTGTCATGTATTGGCTCTATCTGAGGTGGCTTGATAGTGTGCATTTATTGGGATCATATTTTAGTGATAGACTGGTCATTTTGAGATTATCAGCATTGGTTGTCAACTGAGCATTTGGCAGAAAACAGTCTGCAGGTCATTTTGAGGTCAAGTAAGAAAGAAAATACTTTTATTCAGAAAGGACGTATTACAGAAATCGTTCATAACATTACAATTGATTATATACAAATGCCGTCACAGGAATATATTACATTTTTAAAATGTATTAAGATAGAAATGCAATATAAAAAAGAACACGTTAAACTGTAATAATGTTTCACAATATTACTGTATTTTTTATTTAAAAAAAAAATGCTTCCAGCATAAGAGATGTCTTTCAAAAACAAAAAACAAATAAATAAAAAA